CACAGAAAGATGTATATGGGACTACACGAACACGTGGTGTAAAAATCCTACCCCCCGAGTTTTACGATGTTACTGAAATATTTCGAATATAAAGGCATTTGAAGAGCCATGTTTTTCAGGGAACATGTCTTATCTGATGATCTTCCACACTTGCATAATAAGAATTATTACGCTCACAAATTATTTTTCACCTCTTCCCAGAACTCAACCTTCTCTTTAAGCCCCACTCTCCTACGTGTAGCTACTTGCTCCCTCTATATAGAAAACTTCCCCAATCGGTGCCTGTTGGTCCCCCATGATCCTCTATTTCTTATGTTATTTGAGAGCTGAGTTGATGAGATAGCCACCTGTCAGTGACCTTGCAGGGAGGTATAATCCCCCTGGTCAAACTAGTACAGACGGGCTTTAAGTTCCAATTTTCATTCGAAATAAAAAGCAAGCAAACAATGGAATTACAAACAATGTAAGTAGACAATGGCGGTATATAAACACAAACTGGAAGACATTAGAAGAACGTGGTTTTATGCCTTTAATTATACTTTAGTGTCTTTATAAATATGACTATAGATATGGTATATTAGTTTGCTAGCACAGCCCTTGTCAGTCGTAATGCGTTTTAAAATTGTCTGATCTGCAAAACCAGTCTATGTGGACTATTATTACGGTCTTCTGCACTCCGGAGGACAGAACTGGAAAATACATATTTACTATTTTCCAGTGCTGTGCTCCGAAGGCCTGTATTATAGCAAGAAGTTACCAGCAACTTCTTGATTATAGCTGTCCCATCATGCGTCAAGGCTTTATGAAATTGTGACGAAAGTCAAATAGAGTCTGCGGTTGGAGGAGATATAGCGGTTGATTAGCCCCAAGGCCATTGCCTTTTGAACGTTCTCATCTGCAAATAGCAGCCCTAATTATCATATTTATGTATTCATGATCGCAAAAAAAGGACATTGACATTAGTGTACGTCAATCCCAACAAGCCAAAATGATACGAGTAAAGTAGATTGATAAACAATCCATCCAATACATTAGGTTCACTCAAAAGTCCGTTTAACTTTAAGTTCGAACTTATCTTGTAGGTATACTAGGGATAGAGCCCCACCCCAATAATTTTGGTGGGGGGGGGGGGGGGTAGTCTGCAAGCACAAACCCTGGTTAATTCGTAAAAGTGAGCCTGCACTATAAGACTACCATTGGCCATTTACTGTAGCTGCTCCTGACACACACAACCAGTAGGTAGCTGGGCTAGGCTTCTCTCAAGGCACAATGATTGTTTTGGATAAAGTGTCAAATTAGGGTCTGGGCTTGCAGACTAGGGGGGGGGGGGGCTAAAGTATCCATGAGCCCCCTCAATAATTAATAAAGAGGAGAGAAGAGAAGAAATCTTCATATCCATAACGTGTATGGACAGTGAGAGTGGGGTGGGGGGGGGGGGGAGGAGGACTTAATCACCTCCCAAGTGGTTCAAAACGGTTTCTCTCAGAATGTTATTGCATAACTGGAATTGAAGAGGGTGAGCCAGTCTACTCAACGGCATCTCCACGACTGTTTATCTATAAAGATTGAGTACTGCATCGGACACAGTTACATCATCGCAACAATAGAAGGTTTTAAAGTCGATTCTTATTTCTTCTCGACAATGGTCCGGGAAAATCGCACCATACAATGAATGTCATGGGCGTTGCAGGGATTCGCCGCACGGTGAAAATCTCAAAACTTGCAAATGGGCCAAAATGTTGTACAAATCGTAATTGAAACTTTCTTAAAAGTATAGGGGCAAAATAAATGTCATTTAGCAAAATAACAGTCACTTCGCTGTTCGAATTTGGATTTTGTAATTGACCAGAGAGACAATCACGGAATCTTTTGATCTGTGATTTGGAACATACTTTCAGAAACCCATCTAACTGTAGTACAGATGGATTTTTAGATAAATTTTTGAGGGCTTGCCAATCCCTGATCGGGTCTTGAAAGATATTTTATCCCTTTTGCACCCAACATCAAATTCTGTAAAACTTTGCAGGAATTATGAATATGTTATGTATGTCCTATCTGTGAAATTTAAACGTTAGCAGTGTCATAATATTCAAATTATGCAAGGAAACCCGTTTACTTGCTAGACCGTACTGTCAGACACTATTGAGTGACTGACTGGCTTTCTTTCTTCTTTGGTAATAACATACATAAAATGAGCTGCAAAGGGTACATGAGCATTTTTCTACATCAATAACACACTTCTTGTAATGGCCAAAATTAAACTGATTGAATCTTTGCGCAGCATAAAACGTACAACCATTCGGTACAATGGTCTGAAAATCAGACTATTACTTATACTGGCTCTATAGCTCTTAAGTCAATTCGACAACTTATAGGCGTCATTTCCCCACTTAAAGACATTCTCAAGCCCCCCCCCCCCTTTTTTTTAAAGGGAAGTTCTAAATTAGTATTATATTTCAAATCCCGTTGGAATTTAACCTTTTCATTTTTTGGCCTGCAAATGGGACATAGTACCTTTAAGATGTTCTCATACATTTCGAGTGGCAAGACCAAGACACTGATAGAAACAATTGATTTCCCGTTATATAAGACGGACTTGCAAGGAGAAATAACATCGATTTTATAATCTGCTATTGTTGTGACGGGCATATAACCGTGTCCGATGTAGTCCAGAATCTGCACGGTCCTTTATAATTTCCCTACACTTGATTCAAGCCGTCGAAGATGGCGTTATCAACAAACTCATAATTATGCTCACCAGCCCAGCCTGAGGACAAATTAATTTAATGATCACGCCATCATCGGCTGGTAGCAAGTAAGTAGGGAGAGGTTAGCGTTGGTGTGGTGGAGATCAAAATTAAATAGGCCAGATTCTGGACTATGTCCGATGCGGTACACAATCTTAGACAATAAAAACAAGCTGTAGAAATGTTGTGGTATATAGTGGTTCATTCGCTTGAATCTCAAACCAATAGTTGAGGGTTCGAATCCCAGCCCGGCACTTACATCCATTGGTAAGAAAGTAATGCATAATATTATATTCGCCTCTCCCCAACCAGGTGTAAATGTTTACATGGCCGTGGTAATAGGGACTTTTAGATTTGCACAACGACAACGTGGATTGCTTTGATCGACGTCCTTTTAATGCACTGCCTTGAATGGACGTCACACGTATCAGTCCACGCAAATCTAAAAGTCCCTACTGATAATTGCAGGGGCCATGAAGAGAGCGTTATTAGTAATGATGTCGCTATAAAAAAGGATACCCTATGGGTAAATAAGACCCAATTATTGATATTTTCATTCTTAAATTTGGGATCATATGGGATCATATTTACCTAACTGGGTCAAAACCCACTCTTGCTAACATCTTAAGTGGATCCGGTAACTTTCTCAGATTATGAAACAAAATTCTGGATTTAGCTCCTGATGCAATGATAATTATAAACCTTTAGGTCAGTCAGGAACCCCATGACTTTTACAAGCCGATCGCCTGTCTGATTATCAAGATATTTATGATTGGAATTACAAATTTTGAAAACCGTTCGCTTGACGGTTTTCATAACACTACAGTCTATTGGGAAAAACAAGTATGGTAAAACCGGTCACTCAAAGATTTTTACTTTTTTGAGGCACTTGATCATTTTGAAGCGCAATTTTGTTAGGGCTTCAATATTACACCATATGACAGACACTGATAGGTAGGGCCGTGTATCTCAGGTTTAACATTGTTAAACGATCCCTTTAAGGTGAATCATTATTTGTTTGATCGATCTTTAAAAAGACGGATACAAAAAACAACGGCAATAGACAAATAAATAATAAGAATATGAAAGAATAAAAGGAGTGTGACCAGCAAGTTAATGGGTCAGGGTGCACAAAACTGAACTGCAACGTACACTGTTGTGTTGCCACAAGTACTCCCAGTACATTTCAACTGTTCATATCGCCTTTACCCTCGTTTAGGGTGACTGAGTTTCAAGAGTATTTTGTGATAATGCATTCAATCGGTATATGCTATTCAACAACCTAACCTTTGGTATATTTCAGTCCATTTCCGCCCAATTCAGTTAAATATTTGGACACAGGCAAATTTAACGAGAATGGGGAATATTAATGCGGTTTAACTGTCCCGGACGGTACAATTAACTAGTATGCATATCGTTATCGACAAACCAAAGCGGACATAATAGAGTGGTGAAGTGTGATGTCATCAAAAATCTATTTTTAGAATTTCTCAATTTTTTCTTCATATTCCGAAAGAACATCAAAAATAATGTCCAAATGTCAAAAACCAATTGAATATGTTAAGTATTGGCTGAGCTATGACCATCTGAATGAATATATGTCCTATGGGAACTCAGTGTTATATGCTCTGGCTCCTAACCATTAGGAGCCAGAGCATATAACACTGAGTTCCTATGGGGAGTTTTTTTTATTCAGATGGTCATAGCTCAGCCAATACTTAACATATTCAATTGGTTTTCGACATTTGGACATTATTTTTGATGTTCTTTTGGAATATGAAGAAAAAATTGAGAAATTCTAAAAATAGATTTTTATGACGTCACAGCTTCGGTACTCTATAGGCTACAAGATGAGTATCTTTGGCGGAATCTGTAATGATTGCAACGATCGATATAGGTTGAATTCTGTTTTCTCATTCTTTGTGGGTCACTCTGTGTAAGTACATGATAAGCCTTTAATGATAACAATATACAGTCATTGTAATAATAATTACAGTGCTTATATATCGCCTAACACTTACTTTGTCTGAAGTCTCTAAGCGCTCTACAATAATGCAGCATAATTACCCTGGCTTTAGCAGTGCAGCTGTTACGCGCGCTGCGTTTACTTCACCTGGGTGGAGTGTGGCAAATGTAGATCAATGTCTTGCCAAAGGACATTAGTGCAGCGGCGGGACTCGATATTGTATATTATAATTATTTGTTATCTGTGTAACTTTACTTTTGTTTAATTTTCTTTATCTTCATTTCCAGCTCTGACAATCTGACCGACAGCCTCATCTGCGTCGAGATGTCTGAAGCCCGTCGCATCTAATTCCGGTTTAAATCATCCTGTGCTTTCGGGCTATACTCCATCGAAATGATCAAGTTGAATTCACTGTGTCATCGGGGAAACAAGAACATCGACAATGAAACTGACTCAGGCGGCCCCGACCAGCCTGAACTGGCACAGGTATCCGACATACCATTACCGCTGTACAAACGGTTATGGGTTGATCCGTTGAACTTCCGATGGATCACGACATTTATCTGGGCCGTGGGCGTCGGCGTTACCTTCGGCATCATGGGCGACTTCTCGATGTTTTACATGTTTCTCGAGCGAGAGTTTGACTCGTCTGTGACCGAATTAAGTGAGTTATCAACTTCTTTGATTTTCTGCCAATTTTTAGAATGGGTCTGTCCATGTCTGGAAACATGCAGTGAAAGTTAATACGATATGACCTACAAGCATTGGTTTTTCTTTAGGCTCCGTCATATTTCTTCCTTTATTCAACTTAGTCTTATGTATTATTCCTTTTGTTTGTATAAATGCATCCAAAATGATTAAAAAAATGTGACATGCCAAATGTAATAATGTATTATACAACATGTGAAATATTAAAATAAACTGAAACTGAAACTGAAATATGACGTTCCCCAGGTTTAGTTCTGGTCCAGATATTCACGCCGTAAAACTCATCTACCACTATTATCAAATGCAAATAGAAAACGACGGAGAGCAAGCTCAAACTACTGTACAAAGGCGCGAACAGAGAAAGATGTTACTTCCCACATATAAACCCACGTCCATAATACGGTATTACACATTTAAATGAGATGAATTTTCATGATTAATACTACTGATGATGTACAAAAAGTGCGGCCCTAAAGTAAATATTCCAAATATTCTGTAATTGGTGCAGCTCTGCTATGGATGCATGTATCTTTTTCTTTACCCAAAGTCACTTTCCGGCAATCAATACAAGGGAATAAATCATTATGCAAAACCCGATTGGATTTCCCATAGAAATCATGTATTGGTTACGTAACACGTGCATGTAATGTTCACACATTTAAACATAATTATGAGGGAAAAGACGGTTCTGAAATTATCTCAGGTCTATTGAAATTTCTTGAAATTCTTTGCGATCGCGTTCCTCTCTTGTCCAAGGTTGGCTCGGTGCTCTACCGTGGTGCCTCTGCTGTTTCTTCTCGCCCCTCTCCACCCTGATCGTCCACCGTTTCGGTTACCGCGCCACCATGGTCGGGGCGTGTTTCGTCTGCGCGATCGGGCTCTTCTCGACGAGTTTCATCCAGGAGCTCTGGCCAGCTTTCCTCTCCTACAGCCTGTTCTTCGGCGGCAGTTCGGTGGTCCTTTACACGGTTGGCTGCGTCTACGTGACGGGTTATTTTGACAAGAAGCACTGTACGGGCCCAGTCTCAACGAATGGGCTGGCGTTTGAAATTGGTAAGTGAACAGGGGGCGAAGGGGCGAGGGGGGGGGGGGGCGGGTGGTTGGACCGTGGACCAAGGATTTTGTTTAATCCAAAAAACAAAAAAAGAACTAGATGGGGGAGCAGATCATTGTCCTTGGGGGTAATTTTAAGGGGCATAATTTTCCGGGGGTAAATTATTGTCCTTGGGGGTAGTTTTCCGGGGGGGGGGGGGGGGGTAATTTTCCGGGGTGATTGTCCAAGGGATAATTGTCCTAGAACCGAATTTTGTTTAACCTTATGGTCTCTCATCCCGGTAGAGCTGATTGATATGGAGGTGCAGGTGGACCACATACTGCAACAGGGTTCCCCTACTCTTATTCGAATGGTGCAGTGGGTTCATGTGCCAATGTGGCGAATCTCCACTACACAGAGTCTCAATTTAATACCCTAACCGAGGGAAGAATTATTTTCCTCTGTAATAAATCGCAAAGCTTAAGAGGCGCACAAAGACGTAATATCATAATGTGGTGTTGGAATGTTTTAATTATATTACACTGTATTACCAAAGCGCTCCAACAAAATAATATATGTTATTCGATTTATCATAATTGCAGCTATCCTCGTCTTCAGTCCCGTTATCCAAGTCACATCGGACGAATGGGGTTGGAGATGGTCGGTCCGTCTCCTATCTTGCTGCACCCTCGGCGCCGCCTTCCTATTCATTGTCTTCATCCGCGAGCCTCCCAGCGACATGTTCAACGACGACGACGACGATGTCGTCGACGATAAGAAGAAACATTATCAGCAGCTTCGTGAGAAGGAGAAGAAAGAAAGCGGTGCGGAAAATGGGGGAGTCGTGGAGGAGCGACAAGACGGAGAGGAGGAGGAGGAGCAGGGGAAGGAGGAAGTGGAGCAGGAAGAGGAAAAACATTGGAAAGCATCTTTAAAGAGATATATCACGTTGTTCAAGATGCCAGCCTTCTCGATTTTACTGATTGGGATCGTAATTTCTTTCACTGCGTTGTCTTTCAACCATATAAACTTTGTAAGTATTCCTTAGGATATTTATAGGGATAATGATGGTATTCTCTCACCGAAAAATCACAGGCAAAATGCTGTCCGTGGGCTCCGCCATACGCAATATAAGTCGCAGGATGACATCAGTGGGAAATTTTCACCTGATTGAAAACAAACCATTTACTAAAGATATTCAATTTTCATTTTTTTTTCAAAGGTAAATCATACTACATCATCTAATATATGATATCATGATCGCTAAGACTTACAAAAAGTCAACCTTTGGCCATTTCAATGGCCTTGTATATCATACAACAACAACAAAAAATAAAAATGCGACCACTCTAAATTCTTTCAAATCGAAATTCAAGTTGCGTCTTCTTGCCACATATGAATTACTTCCCTGATGCATACAATTACCTTATAAATTATGTCGTTCTGTGATATAATTGTGCAATGTCTTGTTTACGTCTTGTATTTTGTTATATCGTGAATGTTAATGTTTTGTATTTTCCACATTTGTCATTTTGTTATGGGTTCACCCACTTCCCTCCAGCCATCGGCTTTATTGGGTGCTAAAATGATCCAGTTCACTTCTCCGATTGTATGTGTTTGTTTTTTAATGAAATAATAAATTGAATTGAAATTGAATTGAATTTTTTCGGAATGCGCGTACATGGCAATGATCGAATATTATTATTCCATAACCTAAACATGTTTTCTCTGGGTTATACAATACAATAATGTAATCGCAAGAGAATTAATTTCTCGAAAGCCTTTGCGACCGTGCTTTGTTTTCTAACGAGAAAATAATAATCTGAAGGTAAAATCAGTCCATACCGAACTAAGACTGGGGTGTAAATTCTTCTTTCTTCTTTCTCTTTCAGGGTAGCTACCTCACGTCCGTGGGCATATCGGATCAGAAAACAAGTTTGCTCCACTCGTTACTAGCCGGTAGTGCGTTGGTCGGACGGGTCTCGGTTCTCTTTGTCCATCTTCTCCCTTTCTCCATCCTCCTCACCTACCCCATCATCGCTGTCATCAGCTGTGGGGTGTCCGTAGTTGTCCTCCTGGTTACCCCTCATTGGATATTCTATATTTATTCAATATGTAAGTTGATAATGATGGTGATGATTATAAGATGATGACGTAGATCCTAATAAAATGATTGGTTGAGAGCGTATACGTGACCAGGTAATTATTTTGCCTAACACGTCATTTTTATAATGACCGGTCATTATCAAATGCTAATGACCGTTCATTATTAAAATCATGTTATAAAACATATAAAACATAATCTTATAAAACAAATAATACACATCATTTTGTTCGGGTATTAGTAAAATTACCCACACTCGGTACCTTCAAAACAGTCCAAACTCCCTCGGCTATCGCCTCGGGCTGTTCCAAAGGTACCTTGTGTGGGTAATTCTTACTAATGCCCTCACTGCTGTGTATTATTTGGATATTATGATGATGATAGTGAATGTGATGCTGGTGGTGGTGGTGATGATTATGATGATGACGGTGGTGGTGGCGATGGCGATAACGGCGGTGGTGATGATGAAGATGATGATGATGATGATGGTAATGTTGATGATGCTGGTGGTGGTGATGATGAAGATGATGATGCTGAGTAATATTTGGTCAATAGTCAGCTGTTGTTTTTTATGAGGAAATTGGTAAAGCTGTTGTTAGTGGTAGTGGTGGTGATGATGATGATGATGATGATGCCGAGGGGTATTCAATATTATAAGTCAATGCCTCACCGAAGTTTCTCCGATGAGGGAATTAATAGTGGTGGTGAAGATGATGATTGTGATGAAAACAGTGGTGGTGGTGGGTTGACTACAGTTGCATTATAAATATATTTCATTTAGATTATCATGATAAATATCACCACAATTTTCTCATTTTCAGTGATTGGATTGATGCGTGGGCTTTATTTCTCGTTGGCGACCGGCATAGCAGTGGAGCTCAGCGGTAAAGAGAAGGCCGCTGAGGCTTATGCCTTGGCCTTTGTTGCCTGGGGTGTGGGCAGTGCCCTGGCGGCCGTCGTACCTGGTAAGCAAGTCCCCGCGTTCTCGTGTGTTTTCTTTGATTTGATTCTTATTCTGTTGCTTCTATTAAAATTATTCGAAGGACACATAAAGAGAAGAAAAAAAGTTAACCCCCTAGACTTCGTATCAGTAGCGTCCCTCTCCCAGCACGTATCCCCCCCCCCCAAAAAAAAAAATTGATTAAAAATGTTAGGCAAGCCACTTGTAGAAAATGAATACAAGAACCCTCAAGACCTCAAAGCCACACCCAAATAATTATTCTGCTAGAACCACGCCTAAATCATATTCACCCATAAATAACTGTATTTCTTTCTATAATATTTTCGATCATTTTCTGCGACCGCAAATCGATAAATTGCTTCATGCCCGTTGTACACGAAGCGTCATTTCGATTGCGTTTTTAGCTCCGCTAATAAAGCCTACGAAAGGAATTGGCGCTTGCGCCAAAACTCACAGAAAGGCTTCCTCTTTTTTATTTTGTACTATATGTCGGGTTCTCGCATATGATACGTCAAAGACCGCGCAAGTCGCTGACGTAGTCCTACGTCAGCAAGGCTAGGTCAGCGAAATGACGCCTCGGATGCGACGGGCGCAATGTAATTATCAGCATCTTGATTTACAAGGACAGGCATGTGGTTACTAGGTAAAAGGGTGGTAGAGGGTCTGTACTATGTTAGGCTTTATCGCCCCTCCTCAATTTATTGTTGTGGCCGAAATTCAATTTTGAGTTATACGTGGTTTTTTATTGATTTTTTTCAAAAACTTAATAAATAATTTCATCCTCCGCACAAAATGATAATACAAAAATGTCACAAAAATGACAGAAGGTGGTAAGGTAAATGAAATTGTCTGATACTTATATCGGGAGCGCCAGGAAGGTCAAATCTGACTGACATATTGTGTGCTATACAAGAACCCATTATTATTATTATTATTATTATTATTATTATTATTTCCGTCATTCAAAAGTTAACATTTTTTAATATCTCTTTCTTCTTTTGCAGGTATCACCCATGAGCTTACGGGCTCCTACACGCTTTCCATGACCCTGTGCGCCGCATTCTGGGGTGTGTCCGCCATTTTGTTCTTCTTTGTCTACCTCTTAAACAGAAGAGCCCGAGCCAAGCGTAAGCGGTTGTCCTCCAACTCAAAAGTTAACGAGCTCAAAAAGGAACCGTTGCCTTTGAAAGATATCCGCAAGGACCAGATCGTTTCCGCCTCCTACTCTCCTCTTCCCACCGAGGACGTGACGACGGTTTGAAACAGAGATCACTTTCAATTAAATCTTAAAGGGAGTGTATCATGATGTTATTACCAAAGAAGAAAAAAAGCCAGTCAGTCACTCAATAGTGTCTGACAGTGAAGTCTAGCAAGTAAACGGGTTTCCTTGCATAATTTGAACATTAGGACACTGCTAACGTTTAAATTTCACAGATAGGACATACATGACATATTCATAATTCCTGCAAAGTTCTACAGAATTTGAGGTTGGCTGCAAAAGGGACATAGTACCTTTAAGTTGGTGTGAATAAGAGGAAAGGTCTACGTTTCTGGGAAAGTGTTGGTCCTTTACGCCCGAATGGTACCTCGGTTAGTTTAGTCAAAACAACCGATGAAAGTACTTGCCGCACGGAGCTGGTCGGACATAGATAAGGGCTTGACGGAATAAGACTCTTTTAAAATAAATATTGCCTGGAAATCGATTTCTTGAAAGTCTGTACGATTATATTACAAGATTACAAATCTTTCCATTTGCGTGCCCATTGCTTGCATTACTTCGTCTTAGTGACGATACAATTTAAATATAGACTCAGATTCCATATTTTACTAGTGACTCTTTTAAATTGTCTTTAATACTGAAATGCAATTGATTTTCAATTGATTATAGTCACAACTGTAGGGCCATAAAAATGTACATGGGCTGAACAATGCGAATGTTACTTTTCCATCACTATTTATATTTTTCTATTTTGGATTGAAGTTGTAAAACATGCGTGTACATATTTTGTTCGGAGCTCGTATAGTCAACGCCTCAAACCTCTCGAAATGATTCATAATTACGTATTTTGAACCAAAAAAAAAAAATTGTATCTCTATTCCACGAGAATTTGTCTTATATTATATTAGTTATATACGATGAGATTCGTATATTTCAAAATCTAGTTTATTCAAAAAGTGTGTGCAGTTATAACATTTTGAGATACGGGTAGCTAATTGGGAGTATGTAGGCATGTGTGTGTTGTGCGTGTGTGGGCATTCGTGCGGGTGTTCAATATTTCAATAAGTGACCACGATAACTAAAATGAGGCTGACCCAATATTTGGCTGTGGCATTGCGGTAACAGGTTAGCACTGTCTTTAAAAGAAAAATATATATTGAAGAGATTTATTAGGGATTATTAAGGAAAATATTCAAAATAACTTGCCATGTTGTCTTGCTAAATGCATCCAATGCGTTTAACTACACATCACAACGGTCTAGTATATAGCTAATTGACTTTTGATAAGATATCACTATAATAGTTGCAGAATATCTTGTGTATCACATTTGTCATAATTATATTTTCAAGCTACATGAGTACTATTTGTTTCAAAGGAAATTATACAAGGTCATTTAGAATATATGACACTGATCTACAAGCTAAAGCAACGTGGTGAATATCAATAAAAATTCATATATTTATTCTTTTGATTACTTTGTTAACTATTAATGATAACTATTTAGAATAGTATATCATTTCATGAATAAATTATAATTATATTTGTATTTTGGTTCATGATTACGCAATTTTACATTATGTTCGTTGTAAGCGAAGTAAATTCTTTCAGGAATTAAACTCGTCTAATATCTGTGAGTTTCGTTGTATTAAATTTGTTGCGAAGGGAGATTCAAGTTTGCAAGGAAAGAGAGAGAGAGAGAGAGAGAGGGGGTGGGCGTGGATGAAAAGGTTTAGAGAGGGAAAGAAAGAAAGAGGTAGAGAAAGAGAGAGAGAGAGAGAGAGAGAGACACGGGGAGGGGGTAGATATGGGGGAATGTGAAAAAGGGAATAGATTAAGCGTGGTAATAATGGGGAATGTGAAGGAGACACTTTATAGAGAGAGAGAGAAAGAGAGAGAGAGAGAGACAGGGACAGAGAGAGAGACAGACATAGAGGCCCGAATTCACAAACTATGACGCGTTTTTCCGTGTTTTTTACAAACCTAGTTTGACGCACGAAAACGAAGGTTTGTCGACAAACCTTCGTTTTCGTGCGTCAAACTAGGTTTGTAAAAAACACGGAAAAACGCGTCATATGACATACGAAAACCAAGGTTTGTCGACAAACCTCATTTGTGAATTCGGGCCAGAGAGACAGAGACAGACGGGGAGGTCGCTGATTTCATACGATAAATCCATCATCCACTCTAAACATGAAATTCCACCAGGAGCGCAGGTTCCTCCAAATTCATTGCTTGTTGTTGTTGTTGTTGTGATTAATGGCGTTTCCAACGTCATTGGATGATTATCGCCAGGCAATGTGAGAGGGCGTAGTTACTGGTCCTCTCTTAGTACTTTTGCTGTTGGATCGACGATAGCCTAGCTAGTGGCGTTGTGTTTGTGCAATTAACAATGTCAGTAAATTGTTAGTAGTTATTTTCTGTATTGTTATTCGGCTTGTTATTTTAAAGAATTCATTAGGAAAGAAAGGATGAAGTGGTTGAATATTAGTTGCGATTAGTTTATAACGTTAGTTTAAAGCCTCTCTCCGTACAATGAAGCAATATAATGAGGCAATGCCGATGATAGTACCACTGTCACTAAAAGATAATATAACGAAACGTAATTAATACTCCATGTTTATAGTTGAGCATCACAGTTCGGTGTACCTTCCACTGCCTTTTAAAAAAAACTACCACCTTTCCTATATATTCCTCGTTTCCTAGTAAATGACCTAGATTTGGATGTTTGGTCTTTAGTGCTCTTATTCTCCTTCTATGTCTTCATATTTTGGGCATGATAATAAAAAGTGCTCAATTGTTTCTATCGTCTGGCATTCTTCACATAGTCCAGTGTCATGTTTTCTAATTAAATATTTATACTAGTAATTCAGGTTACATTTACCAAGTCTGAATTGGTGGGTTAATCTTTCAGTTTCTTTGAGAACTTTTGAGAGGGTTTTCGGGTTGTGTTCCTTTCCATTCAGCTATACATGTATTATCACAGATCTTCCTCCCTTTCCTATCTCTTTTATTCCCAAACCACCTCTCTCATTTTCTCCCACCCTCACCACTTCATTATCTCCACTGCACTCCATCTTTAACCCCACCCTCTCTCATCTCTTCTGCTTCCCTGCTCTCTCTCTCCCCTCTCTTCTGCTTCCCTGCTCTCTCTCTCCCCTCTCTTCTGCTACCCTGTTCTCTCTCTCTCTCTCTCTCTCTCTCTCTCTCTCTCTCTCTCTCTCTCTCTCTCTCTCTCCCCTCTCTTCTGCTACCCTGCTTTTCCTTTCCCCTCTCTCTCCTCTCTTCTGCTACCACTTTCTTTATATATACATGCTTATATAATATATATATCTTTCTCTCCCCTCTCTTCTGCTACCGTGCTTTTCTTTTTCCCTCTCTCTCCTCTCTTCTGCTACCACTTTCTTTATATATATATACATGCTTATATAATATATATATCTTTCTCTCTCCTCTCTTCTGCTACCGTGCTTTTCTTTTTCCCTCTCTCTCCTCTCTTCTGCTACCACTTTCTTTATATATACATGCTTATATAATATATATATCTTTCTCTCCCCTCTCTTCTGCTACCCTCCTCACTTCAGCTACCCTGCTCCCCTTTCTGTATCTCTCTCTCTCTCTCGTTCTCTCTCTCTCTCTCTCTCTCTCTCTCTCTCTCTCTCTCTCTCTGTCCTCTCTTCTGCTACCCTGCTTTCCCTTTTCCCTCTCCTCTTGTGTGCTACCACTTTCTTTATACATACATGCTTATATAATATATATCTTTCTCTCCCCTCTCTTCTGCTACCCTCCTCACTTCAGCTACCCTGCTCCCCTTTCTGTATCTCTCTCTCTCTCTCTCGTTCTCTCTCTCTCTCTCTCTCTCTCTCTCTCTCTGTCCTCTTTTCTGCTACCCTGCTTTCCCTTTTCCCTCTCTCTCTCTCTTCTGCTACCACTTTCTTGATATATACATGCTTATATAATATATATCTTTCTCTCTCCTCTCTTCTGCTACCCTACTCTTTCTTTCTTTATATCTCTCCTCACTTAACCTACCCTGCTCTCCTTTTCTTTATCTCTCTCTCTATTTCTCTCTCTCATATCCAATAGTTTCTCCTCTCTATTTGATCTCTTTATCTTCACTTTTCATAACCAAACATATGTTTTCAGTGGTTCCAAAATATTGAAGGCATTTTTGTTTGAAATGAACAACTGGACTAGCAAATTCCTTCATGCAATGACACTAAAATATTGAATAGAAACACGACTTACGATTTCCAGATTTTCATCAAATTTTATTACAAATGCATCGACTAAATAGAGGCTCATGTATACATATTTACAATAAACAACACTGAATAATAATGGATCTGTCTAAATCGGATGTCTGTTAAAACAAATCATTGAAATTGATTTATTCAAAGATGCTGTTGATTAAAAATATTGTTGCACTTTCATTATCATTATTTTTAGACACCCTATATTGAACTTGTAACACACTTTAACATAACATATTCAAAGACCAACAAGTTCAAAGTCTGCATATAAAGCAAAACCTGTATATAATGACCACCCAAGGGAGACAAAATATATACAGTCGTTAGAGACAGGTGGACTTTTGCTACAGGTTATTGTAAAGCAGATTTCAGTCAGAAAAACGTTTTGAGGGGGGAACAAATAATATCTTTATGGACTGGTAATCTTTCAACACAAGTGGTTGCTACAGCACGTCTGAATGTGCTTTGAATATTTTGTTATTATTTTTTATTTATTTATCTGTTTTGTATTGTTTTGTTTAACAAAATTTAGAAAAATAAATCATAATAAAATATGAATAAGCATAGGCTACAAATTCTCACAATTTTAATCTTCATTCCAGTCTTCATATCAAAAGATATTCCCAGTCTTTAATCAAAACTTAAGTTGGGTTCTGGTCATACGATTGCATTATCAGTGGACTGTCTGACAGTGATTGAAAAAAGTTGCTCACGTAGCTCACAACCGTTGGTGTCAACTGTGAGGTTTTGGAATCACCAAAAAAGCAAAAAGAAATTGACCGAATATTACTGTAACTAAACTCCCACGTACATTGAAATGTGTATATGGGACTACACATAAGTGTGGCATGAAAGTTTGGTCCTGACATTTCAGCTACATGTATCTCCTGTCTTATTTTTGAAACATTGGCGTTTAAAAAGCAATCTTTTTTCAGCGGGCATTTATTATATGATACTCTTCGATTGCCAACATAAAATGAAAGAAAAAAATTATTTTCGCCTCTACCATAACTCAACCTTCTCTTTACATACACTACTCTCCACTTTGAATTTTCTATCATTTTGACATTTTAAGATTGATCGACATGGATATATTACTCATTTGTCAATTCTAAGTTTATAAACCTCCTAAAATACATGTATATGTTTAAAAAATTGAAGGTATCAAGTAACCCTTTAAAAGATGAATGAATCCCAACAAGCACTACACATGTATGTACAAAATATGTGATTTTTTTTGCAAAGGTAGGCAATTTACATAGAATTAGAAGAAAAAGAAAACAAATTGTTCGATCCTCACAAGTGCATACAAAAAATGAGAAAGTAAAGGAAGTCTATTTCATGACCCCTGACCTTAAGCCAAACAGTGCATCAACCTATAGTTCAAGGTAACTCATTTCCCGATCATGTTGCTGTCATGTCAGCATGATCAACTGAAATTATGATGATTTCTGTGAGACATTTGCGGAAGTGAAATTTCAGTTTTGCAATTTGCCTTTTGATAGATCTGTCATAAAAGGAATTCAGATGCTCTAGTGACCTTGATGTCTTGCCCTATTTTTGTTTACTTAGGGAGCTAAAATCCTGTAACCATTTGAGATGAGAGAGCAAAACATGTGCAGATCAAGCGAGTACCTTTGACGACAAATTTTTAATTTTCGAAAGAGCCCCAAAGGCTAATAACTTAGTAAACCGCTGGGTTCTTTTAAGCACGTACCTGCCAACATTCTACAAAAAAAATTAGGAATCTCTGAAGCAAATACAGGAATACAGTGTATTTTACATGCATTTATACCGATTTTACAGAAAACAAGAGGAATATACATGTAGGGTTCATAACACTAGTTTAAAGCCCCACTGTACTACTTGCTCCCTCAATATAGAAACTTCCCCAATCGGTGCCTGTTGGTCCCCATGATCCTCTTTTTATTATATTAATTGAGAGCTGAGTTGATGAGATAGCCACCTGTCAGTGACCTCGCTGGGTGGTCTAATCCCTTCTGGCTGAACTAGTACAGACGGCCTTTAAAGGCAGAAAAATAGGAATCATTCCTCCAAAACAGGAATGGTTGGCTGCTATGTTAAAGCATACCATGTTTATTTTTCGGCACCTTATGACACACCGATAACCAAGTATGGTTATGACCTCTGTTGTGCGTAGCAAAGAGAAGCAGTGGTTTACCGCGGCATACGTGAATGGGCTTTCATTCCTCTCTCTAGTGCCTTCCTCCATCCTTGTATCGTTCCTCACGGTCACCATGGCGATGACGCCCTCTGTCCTTTTCCTCTCTGTACTCTTTCTTCTTCTCCTTATCCTTCTCACCCCCATCTCTATCTCTATCCCGTCTGCTTTCTTTGTGGGTTTTCACATCATCTCGATAGTTCCTTGAACTTGTTCCTCCGTGTCTGTCATCACTTCGTCTGCTGGGTGAGCGAGATCTTTCATCCTTTCTCCTTCTGTCCATCCTGTCATCCTCATCTTCTCTTCGCTCCTTCATCTGCCTATCTTTTCCATTCCTATCGTGTCTACCATGGCTTGGAGAATCAGGACTTCGACTTCTCCTTTCAATTTTAATTTTAATTTTTCTTTCTCTGTGGCTGTCATTGTCTTCTCTCCTGTAGCTTTTTGTGTGCCTTCTTTCCTCGCTATCGCTTCGAGGTTCTCTCTTTATCTTTCTAACCTCATTCCTTCTATCGTCTTTCCTTGCCCTCTTCCTACTCTCACTATCGCTATCTGGTTCCTTCTTGCTCGTCCTCCTCTCCTCATGATGCTTTGAACTAGATTTCCTTTTTCGGTCTTGTTCTGAATCGCTCTCTTGGTCAGAAGAGTCGGAATAGCGTCCTTTTCTTGACTTTTCATTGTGTCCTCCTTCTTTCTCCCTTCTTCTGTCTCTCTGGTCACGTTCATCTGAGCTGTTATCACTGTCATCTGATGAATGTGATGGTTTCCTCCTCTTCATATTCTTTTTGTCCTTTCTTTTCTTAGAGCTTTTGGAGTCTAGACGTTTCTGCTTCTTCTCCATCTTGTCCAACTTCCTGCAATTGTAAAAAAAGGAAACAAAAATTATCATCTAAGTCGTATTTAAACCCAAAGTACAGATATGAAAAACGTTTTGTAAGGATCTGAATACTGTTTTATAAAACGGAGGACCAAGACCATCACAATAGCTATCACTCAGTGTTAAACAAGAAATGTGGGTTTGCAGATATGGAACACACATGATAAGACTTGTGATTAATGAAGAGACAATGTATTTTTTTCTTCCCAGTAATGTTTAGAAAAAGAAGGATCTATTCATCAATATCAAATCGAAGTTATTCCTTTCTTAAGGCTAGATTACTCAGAAAGACACTGCAGAGGTTTACTGTGGCAGTTTTTTTAAATCATTTTTGTTTGATACATTTAAAGGTGAATGGCAGTTGGGGATGAAAAAGGTAGCCAGATACACACAAAAAGGTCCTAGCTACATTAATTTTTTTTCCAGATACAGAAATGTGAAGGACAATACGCTTATGTCATCCTTTTTTAAAAACCAGTGTTTTTTTTGTCCACCATACTTGAACAGTGCTCAATATGGCCAGTGAAGATTTCAAAATGAAAATTTTATAACAAGGCAAAGGTGCAAAATATGAAAAAAAGGGCCATGATGATGTACTTACTTCAGTAATTTGATCTTTTCTTTCATGGAGAGGGATTTGAGGAATGCCTCTTCTGGTTCAACATCCTCATCCTCATCATCATCACTGCTACCAACGAATCTCTGTGATAACAAGAAAATTTGAGTTAATGAATAAGAATTATGAATAAATCAATTGTTTTCACCAATCACTATATTCTAGAAAGGAGAAAATCAGTTTCAAAATGTTACATAAGTAATTTCTACATATTTCATATTTGATTTCAATTTCTTTACATGAGATTCAGGGGAGAACAGATTGATAAAATGATGATGAAAAGAAAGAAAGAGAGAGAGAGAGATGAGAGAGAGAGAGAGAGAGAGAGAGAGAGAGAGAGAGAGATGAGAGAGAGTGAGAGCGAGTTAAGAAAATGCAGGACATAAAGCTGGTGATCGACCTTATTTTGGGTGGGGGGGGGGGGTAGGATTTTGTATTGTATTGCCCTTTAGGTGCTTAAACATGGGTCGGTCGGTCAGATTTTTTTCCCCCTCCCTCTTTGGGCTGATATTTCTCAGTTTTGAATGCTTTAATATCCTTTCTCTAAAAAATCTTTTTTTTATAGCCAACCGTCCATTTCAAGATTTTTGGGTCGGTCGCAAAGGGCAATACAACATTTTTTTTTTAAAGGACCTATTAAGAGATGTGGACTTTAAAGACCTGTGGTTGCTATAGCAGGTTTGACTGTAAATAAATTAGTTTGAGCAATTGCCCACTGAGTAATTATCATCAAAGCATGCATAACACAAGTGCAAAGCTACAGAACCTCCTACCGTACCTCCCATCCTCTCACACCAATCGGTCTCCCTAATGGACACCAGACCTAAGAATACGACTGGAAAGTTGTGAAGTTTGGTTCCTGAGAAGGATGCTTAGAATTTCATGGACAGAAAGAATTTCTAAGAATGAGGTATTTGCCATGGCAGGAACAAGATGAAAGCTTCTGAATAATATAAGAGGTCGACAGCTGATCTGCTTGGGTCATGTTATTCGAAAGAATGGTTTTGAAAATCTTGCACTGACTGGAAGAGTCGAGGGGAGGAGGAGTAGGGGTAGAAGGAGGATTCTGTGGATGAGTAGCTTAAGGAATGGGATTTCTGAAATTGGAATTGATCTCGGGGAGAATGAATTACTTCATAGAATATGGGACAGAGAGTTGTGGCATTTCATGGTCGCAAACGTCTCAGGACATGGTATGTAAAGAAGAAGAAGAACGGACATCTCACCTGATTCTTAGCTTGGCCATTGACCTTCCTTCCCAGTACGTTCTGTTTGAGAGCCAAGCCATCTCTTCTCATGTCCTCCATGAGGTCATCCTTGTCCGTGCTTGGTCCAGCGATCTCTTCATCCTTCGTCTGGTCATACAATGGACACTGAGTATGCAAGTGAGAAGAACACTTGTCATTTCAAGGGTTCATTTAATGGCATCATTTAACCATGTTAAATCTGAGATGCATGGCCCTACATGTTATCAGTGTCTGTGATATGGTGTAATATTGAAGCCCTATCAAAATTGCGCTTCAAAATGACCAAGAAGTGCCTCAAAAAAGTAAAAATCAGACAACAAATCTGCCTGCGATCCCTTTTTTAGCTAAACTTCCGGTAAATTATAAGAATATTGATGAATTTGATATCAGTTTGTAAAAAAAAATAGTGTTTCAAGAGAAAATTACGATAATTCTGTTTTGTCTGTTTGTTTTTGTTTTTTTGTTTTTTTCCCTCTTTGAAATGTCAAAGTTAGGGTGCGGCCTATGCGACGGTGCGGCCTTATCGCCGGCAAATACGTTAGTGCAGGTAGGCTTTAAAATGTCTTTTCCCAAAGATCATTTAATCAAAAGTATTTTGTTTGGAGATTCTATTTAACATTTGCTAAAGATAATTAAGCTGTTAATTGTTCATAACTCTATCCTTTTCGCTTGAAAGAAAATGTCAGAAACTCTTTAGCCAACAGGTGACTGTTTAGTTATCGAAAGAGATCCACACATGTATGCTCATGAACATTTTATTTTCTCTTTATTTTCCTCACCTATTAAATAAATGCAAGGAATTCAAAATGAAATAAATTTAAATGAAATACTACACTGTGGTACTTGGTGTTCATGCTATTTTGTGTTGATTTATTGCCATATCCCACACAACGTTGATTCTTTCATTTTAATTTTACTCAAGGCATCCAAGGTAAGTTCTGAGTGCATTCCATATGATACATGTACACAGAGGAGTTAAAGCCCTACTGCACTACTTATAGCTACTTGCACCCTCTTATGGCAAACAATGCCTAATCGTTGACAATTGGTCCCCATGATTCTCTCTTTCTTATGTTAATTGAGGGCTTATTTGATGAGATAACCATCTGTCAGTGACCATGCAGGGAGGTCTAATCCCTCCTGGCTAAACTAGTGCCGTTGGGATATAAAGCAGCACTTTAAATTGTACCCTCCTTTATTAGTACCAGAGATAAACAAAATCTGTCAGAGCAATCTGAGAGAAATGACATCACTACCTACCTCTCTATCAGTGTTGACATGGCCCCACTTGTGGCATCTGATGCACTTGACGTTGCGGACAGCGATGCCGAACGGTTGATCCGTGACGTCCATGTCCTTGGCATAACCCTCTCGGGGAGCCCCACGCTGCCATTCAAACTTGTACTCCTGGTCCCCGTCCTCCTTCTCCTCCGTCTTCATGCCCTTGGGAGGCTCGTACATGAAGTTCAGGCCATGCTTCACACGTATGTCTCCCATAAGCTGCCTAGTGGAATGATATTCAGGTAGAGAGAGATGAAACATGGAAATCAGTTTGTGGGACTACATCGACGCTTCCCTGACAGACCACGAGATGCAATAGACCACTTTCTTAATGTAATTAAGTTTAGTGCCTTGCTACAAATTATTCCATTCACCTGTCATGAATAATTGTATTTTAATAGTTGGAATGCAAATTGCATACATTACGTGTTGCAAGGTGAGACAAGACATGTTTTTTTCCCCCACAAATATTGTTTTATAAATTTGTATGATTTTACTCATTTTTGGTCACTTTCTAAAACATCTAAAAGCATTTAGATCAGGACAAGTACTGGTATGTTTATAAAAAATTGTTTGCACATTATGTATGTAAATTCCTTGCCTTGTATAATCACTAAGATAAAGTACTTAATACATAACATTATCATCATAACAACTCTGGTACCTGTTTGTGTATGTATCTTGTTCTCTCTCATACTCGGCTCTCAGGTTGTCTTGCTTCGTCTTCTCTGCGTCTGTTCTCTGCTCTGCCATCCATACCTGTCAAAGATAAGGGAACATCTGAACAAGTTAGCAACAACATTCCTTATTATACTTTCAATCTCAAAGGGCATGAACCCTCAAATTTAAACATTTGTCTCATAGTTAAAAATTGGTGTGAAATTGAACATAAACATCCAAATTTTCCTAATCTAAAAAATTCAGCCATTTTCATTTTTTTCACACTGCTGAATGTTGAAATTTGCACAATCCATTAAAGGTAAAGACCAGTATTGGAAATGCCCCAATTTCAAAAAATGAAATGCAAGCTCTTATTACCAATCATGTGAAAGAATATGTTTTGAATAATACATGATGATAAAAATGTTGACGGGAAACCGCCTACTAATTGATATATTTGGTAAATTAGTGTATCTCTCGCCTGTTGAGAGATACAATGCACGTGTGTGTAGTCCTATATACATCTTTCTGTGTACAGTGATTCTAACTTTATGAAGACTTGGCCAAATTTCTTATCATTTTGATGATTCCAGAACCTTGCAGTACATCTATGCTAGATGATCAACCTTTTCTGATCGATTTCACAATGTTTCTTTCACAATGCAATCGCATGACCATAACTGGTCTTTAGCTTTAACATAACCTTGATATTATTAATTGACACCAAATATGGCAAATTTTCAAAGAGAAGAGATCATATTATCAAGACCTGTTTGCTAAAATACATATGCTACACAAAGTTTAAAGAATATAGCCTTATAGGAACTAATACATGATAGTACAGGGCAGCATTTCATGAAACCGTCATAGGTACAAGTTCACCGACATCCTATTGAAACATGTGTTAAACTTACTTCATGGATTTCAATGGGATGTCGGTGAACTTGTACTTATGACGGTTTCGTGAGATGCTGCCCAGGTGCATAAATTGCCGTTCTGCAAAATTTGTTATGGTTCAGTAACTGTAGAAATTTATACTCTGAAATGTTGGGAGTTCAATATGATCTCTATCTCTATTTCAGATAGAAATTACTGCTATGCTGTGAGTATGCACTATACATTCTACACTTCATCCTGCGGTAACAATTTAAATTCAATGGTGTCGGACATAACCCCAAAAATGATCCCCATACTTTCAAGAACGGGAACAAAATAGGCTTTGAATATACAGTGTGTAACCCTATTTTGGGATCAATGAGAAAACATTCACAAAAGTACAATTATTTCTGAACACATCTACATTGTACATGTGCACATTGACATGTTTGAAAACATGGTGAAAATAAAACATTTCTTTCGTGAAATTTCTTCTTCTTACTACTTTGGTGTAGTCTGCTTCCTTCAACCTGTCAACCTTGAAGATTTTTGCAGAAATTATGACATTTCTTGCTCTTTATAAAAACAAACCCTTAAAAAGGCCTTGGCTTAACGATGACGATCACTTCTTGCTAATCGACTTGCACTTGCAGTTGCACTCGACTTGCACGGTAGCAGGACGGACTTTGCATTTGCCTTTGCCTCAACAAACTTGTTCTTTTTTTAATGACTTTTTGTTTTACTTTAACTTAGTTTCAGGTTTTCGTCATTTGATAGTTTTGTATATTGATGCCATTTATATTTGAAGACTTATGTAATTCTTTTTTTATTAATAAAGAAAAATTGAAGAACAAAATCTCGCCGTTTGACGCACTTCCAACGTTGCAAAATCATTCATACATGAGCATTGATGAGCACACAAATACGGCAATGGGCGAGAAAGCATACCGCACAAATCATTACGAGTGGGACCGACGTGAACAAGGGCAAAGCAACCAACAAACGAGAGCACCAACAATCATGGAAAATTCACTTCTCTGTACGTCCTAAATCATCTTACCCGTTTTATGTTAGCATACGATGCAGGATGAAAGAATTTCTTGCACATGAAATTTGCAAAAGACTTCCCCATGATGGCGAATTTTATTGACAAACTGACGTTTCGTCACCGATCCGCTTTCACCAACAATCACCACGAAGTTGACGTAGATGGCGCGAGGATTAAATTCCCGGATTTTAAATTTTGTTATTGTTGTCAATATTCCAGCATATGCCAGTCGAAGAAAATATTCAATTTTTATATCATTATTTTCAGGGATGCTGCGGTTTGTATATTTTGTTTGAATGAAATGGGTATATGGGGCCATTAGACGCACATTATTTACGGATGAATTATCATGTGGTCTCAAAAGCTCCATTTAGAAAATTTGTTTTAATTGGAAATCCACCCCAAATAAAGCTGATTTTTATTTTAGGCCTACCAACAAAAAAAACCCAGAAAGTATAAAATATAGAGAAAGTAGAAGTTGAAAAAAGAAAAGTATAGAACAAACGGTAAATATTTGGGAAGGTCATTCATTGCATAGTTGCCAAAAGGTCTTTGATCAAAGTTCTAAGTGGTAAATGATAGAAAATAAATTCTCACAGAATCCAACAAAACTTAAATTGAATGTTCAAGATTACAAATAAATGACGTGTGCCAAACGAATTTGGTAAAAAAAATGTATAGCCCCCCCCCCCCCCCCCGAGTATAAATGAGCACAGAAAGATAAGGAAATCAAAGTTAGTAGGCCCAGCACCATGTGCTTAACACAGGTTACGTATGTGCGAATGAGAGTTATGGTTTTTAATGAAAATGATTTCCAGCAAGTTTTTGTGAGGTTGTTTTTATTTTACTGGTTCAAACAATCAATCTACTGCAGGATAAACAATCCAGAATTGATTATAGCCACATTCTCTCGAGATACGATTCCCATACCAGAGCCCAAGATTAATAAAGCTTCATATAGTTGTTTTTATCCGGCCTTCACAAAAATGTTCAAAGTTTTCTCTGACCCTAGCTTTTTCTATCATTGTTCTACTTTCGTACAAGTCATCTTGATGTTTTGGATAACCCGTTGACTACTGAATTATCTTATTCCCATAGGCTTTACACAGGGACCACCAGGTTCCCGTTAGCAACGGGTTAACTTCCGCTCTCACGCTATAAAATAAATTGAGCTGTAGCGGACCGTTCATTTTTCATCAGTGTTCATGAAAAGGATTCTTGTGTAGCACATCTAGAAGCTAAACATAGATAGTAATAAGAAATGAGACATTGGAAACTTATGTATTTTAAAGTGCATAGTGTACATATGTCAGCTAGTACGTAGCTCATTTAATATCATTGCTTCAATTTAAACTACTTTGTACCTAGTGAACTCACCAAGATGTTCAGAAAAATTGACAACATGAATGAATAATAATCATACAATAATATACGTCTTGTGTACTTTTATTGAATCTTTGAAATTGACATGATAAGCGTCGGATTGCAACAGCTATCGCACAAAGAGTTAAAGGTCGTTCAGAAATTAGGGAATAACCCTTCACCAAAAACTTGCCATTCTTTTATGTGTAAATGAATAGCAGCTGCGTGAAAAAAGGTCCTAAGTTCATTCACTTAGCCACAGTTTTGCAGCGTCATATCTGGACAAGGCTTTACTGTTGTCCATGTGTACCTCATAAATGAAAATGATTCATAAACTCTAGATTGAAATTTCATTCCAAATGATTCAAGTTCATTTTACTCTTTAATTACTACATGGAAATTTCATGCATTTCGTCGCTGTTTTCACGAAGTGACGGTAGTGAAAAAAAATTGCTTTCACTTTGCGTGACGATTTTCCTCGCTACCGTCACTTCGTGAAAACAAGGACGATTTATATTGCATGTAGAAGAACCCTTAACTGATGTTAAGGTACAATGGCTCAGTGGTCTTGTAACAAGAGGTTCCAGGTTCAAAACCGATTTGATGCACAAGTGACTGCCCTTTTGTAAGACATTTATCCTCATTACCAAGACTCTCGGAGAGGACGTAAGCCGTCGGTCCCCTGGCTGCTAACTTACAAGCCAACACATGCTTTTTAAGCAGTCAGGTGAAACAAACCAACCAACTTATTTGAACTACTTAATGTGTATTCACATTACACACACATAGATTTATTTAGTACACTGACAAATTATTGTATAACTTTCAAAGGAATTTGTAAAAAGAAAATAACGCTCCTTTCATATTCAAGAAAACGTTAATATATTTTTTCACTAATAGTAATATGAGAAACATAATGGTTCAACATTTTTAAAGATTCCCTTGAAAGAGGGAAATGAAAAAAGATATACCGGTCCTTAGTTTTCCCATATCCTAATTTGTAGCATACAACATGAAGAGCATATGGGGATGTTCATAGCTGTTTACAATCCATATTCAAAGACAAGGGAAGCAAACAGTCACAGGAACTGGTGTGCAATTCTACATTACCTTGGAAAAGGAATTAAAGATAAACTTGAGTTCTGGTAAAAAAAAGAAAATGAATTCTCACAGAATCAAACAAAACTTCCACTGAATGTTTAAGATTGCAAATAAATGTCATTTGCCCAACGATTTTGGTAGAAAATATATATACTGGGTGAGTAATGAGCATAGAAAGATAAGAAAATCAAGGTAAGTAGGCCCGACACCATTTGTGTAGTCCCATATACATCTTTCTGTGTAGGTGCTTGTTACTTTACCAAGACTGGGCAAAATTTATTATGATTTTGACAACTCCAGAACCAATGCTACATGATCAACTTTTTCTGATCCATTCCACACCAATGCAATCGCATGACCAGAACTCAACTTTATCTTTAAGTTGTGACTATCCTAAAATCTGCTTCTCTTTCTCAACATCATAAGCATGTGTCTGAACATATCTTTTGAACATAACTGGCAAGAGTGACCTTTGGCTTCTAAGAGTGTTTTTACATTCATGCCTTCCGTTACATGTATAAGGCATGCAGTGAATAGGAAAGAGAAATGCTCTACCCTCTAATACAGATGTTCAGTGAGTTGTACTTCAAATAATATTTGTGAATCGATAAAGTGAGTGCATATTTTGTACACAAGCTACTTTTATTACTCTGCTTTAATTGACAGAGGCATACATGTATTTGTTTGGTTAGAACTTTGTTTGATTACAAAAGATTGCAAATTACACTGGGATGATTGTGGTCTATTTTGATTGGGGGTGGCAAAAGGGAAAGAAAAAAAAAAAAAAAAAAAAAGGTAATTTATAAACCAGGAAACAATGTATTCGTTTTTTACTAAGCCGTCATTTAATTATCTGCCATTGAAATGATTAAAAATATGGTCATCATCATAAATAAGTGTATCAAGTTGATTTAATTTTTTTTAAAAATTCAATTTGATTTATATCTATGACCTTATCATCAATTATAAAACAAAACCAACAACAAATTACCAACCATAATTTTGGTACGTTGATAATTGTCTTCAAATCAAATCAAATATGATATCAAAGTAATACCATGATGCTGAGTAAACAGTTAACTGAACCAATTCATATGTTCATAATATCAGATTAAAAACTTGGCACAGCATTGAAAAAAAATTTGATATACTGTGGCTAAGAGAACTTGTAAAAACAAGTAACCAATATATGGCAGATAAATGCGGCCTAGTAACTTAACTTAAATACAGAGTTACAGAGAAGTATGCACAGGGTCAGAAAATCTCAGACAAGAATTAAAATAAATATCTGTCAATGCCTCCTTTCTATGAAGAACACATGTACCATTCTGACAACAAACTGGAAATTTATCAAAATTATGTAATTTCGATAAGCACTTATTTGTATTTTTGGTTGTACAAACAGTAATTCCTGACAGGCAATCAAACAAAATCTTTGCCATTCATGATAATGGATTTTGTCTGATCTACTACTAGTTTCTGCCTCGATAATGTGACTGGTGCACAAAATACAAACGATCCTCCCTCCATAAATTGTTCAAATCTTGATATAGATCTACAGTGTACATAGGGTGATATAGCTGCAAAAATCATTGACCATGGATGATATTAGTCTTGAGTTTGAGTCCTCATCTGTAGGCTAGCGTGAACGTCATCATTCTTGAACGTCATCCTTTCACTCTCAAAAGTCATCAAAAAGTTCATCTTCAAGACCATCAAGTAGATCACCAATACTTTCTGTGGAACATGAAAACATAAGAAAAAGATGAAATATTTTTAGCAGTTTATACTTTAACGCATCATCTCGAAACTTCATATGGGGATCCCTTTTAAAGTTAACTTCTGCTGAAAGGGGAATTCATCCTAAATGTGGGGGGGGGGGGATGGGAACAGCATAACTATCTAGACAGCAGATTTAGTATCATAAACCTGAGACCTGTTTCATGAAACTTGTTATCAATAATGTGTTGCAATAACTGTTAAACAATACTAAAAATGTTGCATTTGATTACCTGAGAGGATATTTGTTACAGAAATATGACACTTATTATTGACAAAAAGTTTTATGAAAAAACAGGGCCCAGATGAACTTGATATTAGAGACTTTTAGGTTTGCACAACGAGAACGTGGATTGCTACGATCGACATCCTTTTAATGCACTGCCTTGAATGGATGTCACACGTATCAGTCCATGCAAATCTAAAAGTCCCTAATAGGTATCAGGTTGGCTGGGAGTGTGGATTGTATTTAACAAAGGAAATTTGCCTCAAGTTAAAAAAAAAAAAAAATGGAGTACGATCTTTCTTAACATCTATAAAATGAACCGTTTCAACATTGGCAAACAATCAGGTGAGCATTTTCAAGACTCAATTACCAGATTTGGCAGAGAGTAAAATATTTTCTTTGAAACAGTCCTATCAAAATGTTTGCAACTTTCCCACCCACCTTCTCTAAAGTTGTTGGGGGCAGGCTTTTGGCCCTTGTTCGGTCCATCCGTCAGGTTTCCTCCACCGGTATTGGACCCCAGGCCAGAGATGTCCCTCAGACACGGTCTCTTCATCTCCTCGGGGTGTTTCAGCACGCTAGGAGTGGGCTTGGATGGAATGGGATGGCATCTTTTGGTTGCTATGGGGACCATTCCTGTAGGTGATGATGATGTCAAGGAGGAGGTGGAGGTAAGAGGGATGGTAACAGTTGTAGATGAGGTTGGGGAAGGCTGATGAGCTGGAGAGATTTGAGTGGTTACTGCTTTGGAGGAGGATGATGAAGCAGATGAACCTGATGTAGATTTGGAATAATCAACCCCATCAAAATGTTTATCTCTATTTTCCGTCGGTTCCTCTTTCCTAGTGTCCAGTCTGGATCTCATATCGTTTTCTCCGACTTGCGAATCCATCAGCAGCACATCCTCGTCATCCTCATCATCAAGCATCTCCTCCCAAATCCCAGCATCCTCACCATGCTCCATGTAAGTGTCAGTATCCATGGTGACAACATCCACTGCATCACTTGATCCCAATCTCTCGTCATTTGCATCTCTCCTACCCGGAGCTAAGCTCCCTTCTGTGGACGGAAGACGGCTGTGTTCTGGGATCCCTTTCTCGGATGAACGTTTTCCGGATGGTGTCTTTCCAGAGCGTTTCCTAGTTCTCTTCGGCGTCTGTTGACTGCCTGGCCTGCTGCTGCTCTCCCCTGGGAAGACCTGGATGAGGTTGCTTGGAGTGATGTTGAGGTAATGGTTGCGCTGCGATGGGCTCAGGACTCCAACCTTGACGTGAGAATACAAATAAACGACTGTGTGAATATATTTGCATTGTATAATATGGAAAAACATTCAATGAGTGTGTGTGTGTGTGTGTGTATTGGGTTTTTACAGATGTGTTTCAATCAGATATGATTATTTACGTCTGTGGACCGACCTTTAAACATCACCATCCGAAAGATGTGACTCAGTTTCGAACCTGCTTCCTCGGCTGAATCAGTTTGTAACTTCCGCTGTCAGCTGGATTACAGGCACACACCACAACGCCTAGATGTGTCTTAAGCATGAAGGTACCTGGAAATTCTTTCTTGAACCACAACTTTTAATCTTCCTGCCCCTTTTTACCTAAACATTTATGTTCAATTGTGCATGTTTGTATCTTATTGTGATACAACAATGTTTGATCTCAACTGAAAATCTGAAATTATGGACTTTCAAGGCAAAGGAACTGGGCAGTGTTTCATAAAAATTGTTATTAATAACAAGATTCAAAATTGATAAGCTCCTGAAATCATTCCATTTGACCGGCTGAGAGCAAATTTGTCAGTGAATTTAAGAAGTTATTATTGATAACAAGTTTGATATAATTGCGCCCAGGACAGGCCCTGATTCTTTTCCCTTATTGCTGGATTTTTGTCAAAACTCCATACACCCCCCCCCCCCCCCCAAACCGGCCCAATCACCAACCTCTCATCTCCCATGAAGTTCACTTATACAGATCTGGTGATAATCATTCTGCATTGAGTTTCATACTGTCATTAAAATACAACCCTACACCTAACACTCTACTTAACTCTAACCCCAACCTATTTAACCCAAAACCTAGTTTATAAAACCCTAACCCTATATTTTGAGAAACAAATGAAATAAAGCCAAGAGAAAGAATTGTCGGATCAAATGTTGGATCACAGTTCTGACGACAGCCGCTCCATGGTCAACTAATTTCCTAACTTCAACTCAGAACCAAACATCAAATCTAACCCTAGCCCCAACTCTACTCCTAACCCTGACCTAAAGCTGAATAATGCAGCCCTACATGTAACCCTAACCCATAAACAAGTAAAGCATAGACCAAATGTTGCAAGAGCATAAGTCAGTTCACCGCAGATCTACAACACTGTAGTCATATAATCTGGATGTCCACCAAAACTTTTTGAGTCTTACAAAGAGTTACGATTGATCCAAATCAATCGTAAGTCCTCCAATCGATCGCAAGTTTGCAGTCTCCTATCTCTTATGTACATAGTTACGATTGATATCAATCGCAAATAAGTTACGATTGATATCATCTCTTTGTAATATGGGGCCCTGGACTAACCTGTCTAAGGACCAGAACGGAGCCAGGTCTAAGGTCGCCCTGGTACTCCTCAATCAGCCTTCGGTGAATAGTCCCCTGCATCTCGCCGCTGGGATCACACAGGCTCACGCTGGCATCACTGCTGTTGAGAGAGATAGTCTTGATCATCACACACAGATGGTTCACTTTGTTCTTGGTGAGCTGCTTTAGACTTGCCTAGAGGAGACAAAAAAAAAGGTTAAGGAAAGTTCTTCAAAGCCCGACTGCACTACTTGTAGGTACTTGCGCCCTCTATATAGCAAACAATGACTAAGCAGTACCCGTTGGTCCCCCATGGTCCCCCATGGTCCCGTTTTTCTCATGTAAATTGAGAGCTGTCAGTGACCACGCAGAGAGGTCTAATCCGTCCTGGCTAAACTAGTGCAGATAGGTTTAACTTATTCTCAACCCACTAAATGCCATGAATCTAATTTTTCTTCCAGGTGGTCATCATACATTGCACCATGCCAATACAGTGGCAAATAGTAAATTCAGGTACCGGTATAACATCCATTTATCAAATTAAATTTTGTGAATGTTGTCAAAGATTATTAATTATGTATGTTTTAAAGGGAAACTTGAGTTTTGTTGCAGAGGGCACTACACAAAATAAATTTGTGTGAGATAATGAAAAACTGAGTGTTGAATTTGAAAGAACATACAATTTAAATGACGATATCATCTTCGTTTGGTCAAAATTGGTTACACATTCCTACCTTCCTAATGACAAGGGCTAAATTGTTCTGTTGAAGGATTGAGTTGGGATCGCCATCTCTGATGCCAAGTTCAGTCTTCATCAGAAACCAGGCTCCATGTTCAAAGTCTCCAACATTTGTGACTTCCTCACTAGACTCCTGGGGGGAAAAAGGCAAAACTTTGGTGATTCTGTGACCAGGCGCGTACGCAGGATTTTTTCAAGGGGGGGGTTTTAACATTTATAAATCGGTCCGAAAATTTCGCAACGACTCAGGGGGGGGGGGGGGGGGGGGGGGGGGGGGTAAGAGGACACTTTTTTTTTTTTTTTTGGTCTCGAAATTTGGAATTTTGACATTTTGCTCCGTTGGGGGGGGGGTAAGGTCACCTTTTTTAGGTCGGCCATGGGAATAATTTTTTTTTTTTTTAATAATTAAAAAAAAAAAAAAAAAAAAAAAAAAAAAAAAAATCCAAAAGGGGGGGGTTTTAGGTTTTTTTTAGGGGGGTTTACACACAAAAAATTTCCAAAGGGGGGGGTTTAACCCCCCAAACCCCCCCCCTGCGTACGCGCCTGTCTGTGACACTGATCCACTTATTTCATCAAACAAGGGAAACGCTCTCGGCGGTCTCGCCTGCATAACGCAATTCAATATGATAAACCAGAACGTCAATGACGTAGCGCTAATCCGCATCTCACAACAACAAATATCGTAAATTTTATGTGGTACACTTTTGAACTGGTCAAAAAATAGAAATTTGATGCCCTGGAAGGGACATAATTTCATTTCATTTGCATAAAGTACCATAAATAATCAATGGAGCAAAATCTCACAATTCTGTGTAGAAGTTTATTGTTCCAAATTTAGCTCTACCAGATAAGGCAAAATCGGTCATATGAAACAATCAGAATCAAAATCGGTTGAAAAATAACGAAGAAGAAGCATTTTGAAAATCTTAATGTTGATGCCACAACAAAGTCTAAGTTTGTTGACCTTAAATGGCCTTTGACCTTAACTTAGTGACCTGAAATTCTACTCACATGATTGGGGAGACTTGATAACCCTATAGTCCAAGTTTCATTGACTAAGAACTTATACTTTCAAAATTATATCAAAAATAAAAAAACTTAACCTAAGGTTAAGTTTTCGATGATGATGCTACAACATAGTCCAAGTCTGTTGACCTGAAATGACCTTTGACCTTGACTTTGTGATCTGAAATTCTACTCACATGATTGGGGATACTTGATTACCCTATAGTCAAAGTTTCATTGACTAAGAACTTATACTTTAAAAATTATACCAAAAATTCAAAAACTTAACCTTAGGTTAAGTTTTTGATGTTGACGCCGTCGCCGTCACCGGAAAAGTGGCGCCTATGTCTCGCTTTTTGCTACGCAGGCGAGACAAAAATGAGAATCTCTTCATATGACCAATAATGAAAAAAGAAATTTAAATCCTGGCATCAATAATATTATCCAAAGGGCATATCAAGATATTTTTAATATATTTTGGGATAAAAATATCCCTCCCCCCCCAATATATTTCTTGGATTAAAATATGATCAGAAACAACAAATTTAAGTCAAGTCCGCGAAGTTGAGGAAGCATTGCAAGGAATCGTCCAGGCAGATGAGAGCATTGCATGTAGGTGCTTTCTGGTCAGGTTTTGGGCACACAAGTCCAGAAATGTCTGACTCACACATATTCAGAAGTGTTTCTAGAAGTGATGGCACCAACACAAATTTGTTAACATTGTTTTATATTTTGTATAATTCATGTATAAAGCCAGAGTGGAGAATATGGTTTGTAGGGGGTGTTGTAAGAATACATTGATAAGAAACACTCATCATTTTACTCTCATGTTATTTTGTCATTCATTACTGCACCTTGGATCGATTCCAATATACGGTTCTGTGCTTGGGTGAAGAGTACCAGCTTAAATTTTGACCCCCCCCCCCCCCGCCACACACACACATATTTTATTTTTGTAATCAGAGAATAAAGAAACAATATAGAAATAATACATTATCTTTATCATATCATTAGTAACGATTCTGATGTTGCACTGACTAAAATATGTTGTGTGGTGATCAGACACTTGATCACTCCGACAATTTCTACAGGCTTTATTTCATCAAAGGTATAGGGTAAAGGTTAGGGATGTGTTGGGCTTTGCCTTTGGGTCATCTTTAGGGTAAAGGTTAGGTAATATGTATATCCTATTGTATATAGCGTTGGGTACAGGGTGGAGTTAAAGGATTTGGTAACTGTATGTATGGGTGAAAACATGAAACTGCTGGCCGTCATCCGCTTGCGCCCTTCGAATGGGCACAAGGTGATTTGTGCATCATCGCAACTCACCTCTGTTTCCTGGGATAGTTGTTCTTCTGTTTCTTCTTCAACTTTTTTCTTGAGAGCAACTGCTGCATCTTTCAGCTTCAGACCAGGGGTCTGTAAAAAGGGTACATTGTAGATGGAGAAGGAAAAAAAAAAAAAAAACAGTATTCTACGCATGAATTAAAGGTGAACATTATCAAAAGAAAAATCAGAGATACCATAAAATGCTAGGTGGGCTCTAGTTCCGTGCATGTGTATGAGCATACCTGTGTATCAAGTGATCTACTCGCAACTTAAGACAACTTTACGTTTATTTAGAAAGTTATTAACCTTGAAATTTCTCCTCACAGGACAAATGGAAGAAGATTTTGAAGATCATATACTGGCATGGAAGCATAACATACACACCGGAATAGTTTTAAGGTGACTTGACCACTTTAAAGCCCATCTGTACAAGTTTACAGGAGGGATTACACCACCCTGCAAGGTCACTGACAGGTGGTTATCTCATCACATCAGCTCTCACTTAACATAAGAAAAAGAGAATCATGGGGGACCAATGTTCACCGATTAGGCATGGTTTGCTATATAGAGGGCGCAAGTAGCTACAAGGATGAATATAAACTACATACCAGTTTAGGTAGCAGTCCCGCGGGTCCAGGAAACTTCCTGGTCCCACCATGGACCGCACCTGCTCCAGGACTGGGTCCTGATCCTTTGCAGAGGTGGGCCACACGAGGAGTCAAGACGGGTCTTGAATGCTGTCCAGGAATGGGCTGTCTCTGATTGGAGAGAGGTCTATTCGAGGAAGGGTGCTGTCGCTGGGCATGGCCCGTTATGGGGGTTTGTTGTCGCTGGGCGTGTCCTGCTACTGGGGTTTGTTGTCGCTGGGCGTGTCCTGCTACCGGGGTTTGGTGTCGCTGGGCGTGCCCGGCTGCAGGAGTGTGCTCTCGTTGGGCGTGTCCCATCCCAGTGTCCCTGCCCCTCCCATGCATAGTGGGAGTTCGGACTGAACTCCCAGGAGTTGTACGGTGATTTCCCCTAGGTGTGCCGTATCTAGGATCATGGCCGCGGTGTGGTGGAGTTTGACCGTATGATGACCCACCTGTCTTTGATTGAGGCGAATGCATGGCAGCACCCATACCTCTGCTTAGGTTATCATAACCTGGACTGACGTTACATCCTGGCCCTGTATGAGGAGACTGAGCTGCATTCTGATTTCTCGTCTGCACATTAGAACCCGTTTGTCTTCCACGGAAGGTTCTACCGGGCATAAGTGTGTTCGTGGTTGAACTATTGCTAGACTGTTCATGGGACATTGAGGTAACCCTGGAAGACAAAGGAGTATTGGGTGCTTTGTGAGTTGTTCTTGGTGTGTTCTGTTGGGGAGGGAGGCAGAGACCTTGAGGTGGGGATGACATCATCGGCTTTCTTGCACTCCCAGAACCACAAGTTCCATGACCGCCCTGGACCATCTCTGGCCTTGGCACCAGGGGTCTGCTGTTCTGCACCATTGATCCTGCAGGTCTTAATGTCCCCCCACTTCGATGGCCACCACTGACAGTTTTGGAAGGAGGTTCTTTAAAGTCTCCAATGGAAGTATCAAGAACGCCAGAAGAGTCATTTCCAAGATTCTTCTCATCACCAGCTTGGTTCACAATCCCTTTCACTGGTTTGAATCGATTTGAATTCAGCTGTCTCAAATTTGCCAATGGAGATGGAATCTTAGTCACACTTTGAGGCAGCTTGTTACTCTTTACGCTTGACTCTGGAGTCACAAGACCCTTTCTATTTTTAAATCCAGATTGATCTGTATTTGATTGGACCAATCCCTTACTCTGATTCAGACCTACCCCAATCCTTTCTTCAATATTATCAGTCGACTCTCTTTGCTTTTGGTTACCAATGTCAGGAGGTAGTGGAATTTCAGGTGATGTTTTACTTTTGAATGAAAACTTTCTTCCCCCACCACTAACTGGAGTTTTTACTTGAGGTAAGACTGGTGTTGCATTCCTTGTAGGCATGGAAGGAGCTGCCTTGCTAGTATTGTTGAAGCTGTTTTGCTGGGGTACATGATGAGATACTGCTTGCTTGGACTTGAAGACAGCATGTTCCACTTTCTCTACCTGTTCCAGCTCCTCTAGAAAGCTCTGTGCAGAATAAATGAAATACAACAAGTTACATCAGGGGTCTTGCAAGTTGAAACAGGAAATGATATTTGACAAATTATAAGACAATTGCAACAAATTACATAGCAGCTGAAATCTTGGATAAACTTAAAAAGTAATTCTAGAACAGTAGTTTGAACAAAGTACAATTCCTAAACAGATAACTGATGGTGACATTGGAAAGTAGACAAAAAGCATACTGTACTTACATCACTGCTAAACATGTCATCTTCATCCAGCTGGAAGAACTGGCCAGAGCCCTGCATTAAGAGAGAGAAAGAGAGGGGGGAAAGAGAGGGGGAGAAAAGGGGAGAGAGGGGGTCGAAGGGAGAAGGAGGGAGAGAGAGGAGAGAGAAAGGAGGGAAAAGAGGAAGAGAGAGAGAGAGAGAGAGAGAGATAAAGAAGGAAAAACACTTTTTAGAATATGTATTGACATAACAGGCAAAAAAAAAATGTTATTAAACACATTTTCTCCTGAAATTCACCATTAAAGATAAGCCTTGAGATGGTTGTCTTCTAATTCTGTTTACTAAACACTGTTTAAAGAAAAGAAGACCTAGATCCATACCTGCCAACCTGAGACAAGAGAAATTAGGAGTAAATTTTTCTGGATGGACTACGAGGTCGTGAACCACCGAAGGATATTGGGGTAGTAGCCCGTAGATTGGGGGGGGGGGGGGGGGGGGGGGGGGGGTACACAGGACTTTAGGGTCTATTTTTTTTTTCCATGTCGCTGTGTATATCTTCTATGAGCGCGAGCGCGGATGTCGGCGTGATCTGGTTATCAGTGCTGTGTTATGCTTTAGGGCCATTCCATGAGAAGAAGGACATGACATCAAAAAAAGAAATGTACCTCTTATGTTAATTCTTTGATTTATCACTAACCTTATGCCATGGATGTTCATAAAACATTAGGGCCTTTCAAATTCAATACAATTTTTTTTTCATTTTTGTTGATTTCCTAAGATCTCAAACTATCATCAAAAAACGTACATGTGGGACTGTAGCTGAAAAAAACCAATTTATTGCAGATTACACAGGATTCTTGTAATATTTTTTCCTGAAAATTTCGCTAAATGGAAAAAGATGAATTTATTTCCATATTCTAAGGGGTCCTGTGGTATTTAATCTATTACATAGGGGTGAAAATGGCCTCCGGACAAAATGTAACGCGAGTTACCGTAACGTGAGTTACCGACATATTTGCTTCCTGCATTTTACTAGTCCATTGTTTCTTATCTTTAATATTGTGATCTTATACTAGTAAGTCACAACCTACTATCAAATTAAAGTAGGAAAGATTTTGTCAAGATTGTCTAGTATGAGGAGAAAAGAGGGTCTACTCTCGTAGAATTGACCATGTCCTTTTTTTGTAACGCGAGTTACCGAAATTCAATAATCCAAGAATCTAAAAATGTTTGTTTTTCAATTTTCTTTTTTGTTTCATTCAGTTGTTCTATATCTACCCTGTCCATGTTTGAAAAAAGTATCTTGTAGATCCTAGCAGTTCTAAAGATATAGGCACATTATCGTGTCAATGTACCCATTAAGTGTAACGCGAGTTACCATGGAATGGCATTGAGCGCCTTTACATGAACATGCTCAAGGCGCTTTACATTTCAAAATACAAACATAATAGTTATATACTCTCCAAGTGCATTACACTCTAAAAAAAAAAAAAAATTAAATTAAAAAAAAATCGGAGTTTTGAGGCATGCACTCGGAATTTGGAGTTGGTATGAAAAATGCGGAGGAACTCCGCCTAAATCGGGGTGGTTGGCAGGTATGCTAGATCTATGGTGTATTATCGTACTGCTGCTGGAGGATCAAGTGCCAGTGGGGGGTTGTGTTTCCTGACACTTACCAAAATGAAGATTTTAAAATAGCACTCAAAATAGCACTCAAAATCATATGAAGGTGTTTTTTTACAATAGAATTTTTCAACAGAATTGGCATACCCAGTAAGTGAAATATAGCATGTAAACTTCTTCAAATGACTGTTTTTAATCAACTGTCCGGACACGTAACATGTCAGGATGCACAATGTCTGGGTATCAAAAAGTAGCTCCGTGTACTGGCAAAACAATGCCAGATCTCACAAACCTGACATCTAAAAATAACAATAACGCCTCCCTCTTGAAACTGTACTATTTGAAGAGGTGCTGACTACCAGGCCAAGGGGGTGTTTCACAAAGACTAAGATCAACTTTAAGTTGGACTTAGCTATGGCAGGCTATTTATGCCACTGGTTGCTCTCACCATTGGTCTGTCAATTATGATCTGTAGATAATATTTTTTCCTTCAATAATGAGTTATCAATAAAAGTAAATTCTTATAATTTGTGACCACAATTTGTAAGTCCCTTGAGAAACCAATGCCAGGAAATGGTGAGAGAAAAACAGTGGCATGAAGAACCTGCCATAGTTAAGTCCAACTTAAAGGCGACCCTAGTCTTTGCGAAACACCCCCTGCAGTGAAAAAAAATACACTGGGGCTCTGGGCGAATTTGCCCCCAAAATTTTGGGAACACGCCTCTGAATACGAAGTGGGGGGCCGGGGGGGGGGGGGGGGGCGGGGACAGGCCCAGCACTCATTAGAATGAATTCAAATAGTCTGATTTATCCTCAGCCTGTGTAGACATGGTAGAGTAGAGCCTAGTCAATGTCAGCGAATGTAATTTGATAAATGTTGTCATTATCTTTTATGATTATCTCATTCTCATTCATTGCCCCGCCCCTCCCCCCAAAGCAAAATTGTAATAAAAAGTTAAAACAGCACTACAGCAGATAATGACCTGGCCAGCTTGCTTTACTTAATCCTAGCTCCATGACCATGGTAGCACTGCAAAGCACAGTCTGCAATGCAGTGCAACGGACACGCACATCATCATAACATCGCTCATATTCATATATCCTTCACTCGCACTGCCACAGCTCAGCTCAGGCAACTTCCGCAATCACTTCAGTCTTCGCGTCACAACGCTCGACAGGCCAATGCAACATGCAGCGGCAAAGCAGCGAAAGGCATTCCCTTAGTGCACGGTAAACTGTCCGTCACATATTAGCCAAAACATGCAACGTCGCTCGAGCTTGCAATCACAACAATTTATTTTTAAAAAGACCTCTATATGAGCTTAAATCATATATATGTTACCTCCATCGTCCTGCCCTGTCTTTCAGCAATCAGTCATTTCAATCAGCAAAACTTGTCTGGAAAGATAAAGTTTGAATTTTACTTTGAAACTCGTGTTTACTTCCAAGGTTCGCCTAATTTTCATTCGTATTTCGCGGTAGCGATGAAGTGACATTACTACTTTGAATTCATGTACGGTACGAGTACAAGTGTACGAAACAAAATATTATTGTGATAACTATTCGGATAAAGAAGAGCAGGGGGGGGGGGGAGGGGTGGGTGTTTGCCCCATTTTTTTTTTAAATCTAACTCTTCTAGGACCATCATTTAATACAGTAGGAAATGTCTAGCTCAATGTCTCATTCTCATTGGGGTCAGGTACATAGTTTCCACCAACAAAAAAAAATGAATCGTAGTCAATTAACTGCCACACCCTGGCTGCAAGCTGCATAGGGCTGGTTCTGGGGGTAAGAGGACACTTTTCTTTTCTTTTTCGGTAACGAAATTTGAAAATTTTGCTCCTTTGGGGGGGGGGGGGGTAAGGTCACCTTTTTTAGGTCAGCCAAATGTTGGCATAATTCAACCCCCCCCCCCCCCCCCCCCCCCCCCCCCCCCCCCCCCCCCCCCCCCCCCCCCCCCCCCCCCCCCCCCCCCCCCCCCCCCCCCCCCCCCCCCCCCCTGCGTACGCGCTGACTGTACTGGTTTTAAACTGTACAGAAAACAACTGGTCTCAAATGGTCCACTCTGGTTTTATGGGTTTTAAACTGGAATCAACTGGGAATCAACTGGTTGTTTTCAGCATGCAGTCAATGGGTTTTAACTGGGATATACTGGTGCATGTGAAGTTTACCAGTTGTATATCAACTGGTTTCAACCGGTACCAGTTGAATCCAGTTGAAACCAGTAAAATGAACTGGCACATATCCCAGTTCCGTCAACTGGAATCTGTTGATACCAGTTGAAAATCCAACTGGTTTCAACTGTTTTTTTTTTTACCTGGATAAGCTTAACCAAGGTGTACTGGGCACCAACAAAATGTTAAGCGCAGAAGTAGAACCGGTGATAACATTAGGCGTATTCACTTGTCCAGAACGTATAGTTTCAACTTCGCTTGCGGCAAACAAAGACTCAATAATTGTCTCTTAATTCAAACAAATATCTATCCAAAAGTAATTAAGGTCAACAAAATAATTTCCAACATAGTGCAGAACATTAATAAACTGTACCAGGCGTACTGGGCCCAGAACAATCGATGTTAATAACATTATAAATAGATTCACCTGACCAACGACTACAACTAATCATATCGACACCCATATTTCTTGATCTACTCTTCAAAATGGCAGTGTAGGCTTAGGGCATAGCAGATGAAATAAGATAATCCCATCAGATTTGCTTGTCTCTAAAAATCTAGTTTTATAAAAAAAAAAAACAAGTAATACAAATATCATGACTGTATACAAACAATTTGAATGAAATGCTCTTAGGCCAAGGTCAAGTATCTAGCTCCGAATCCTATAAATTGAATTTTCCTCTGATATTGTATGGAATACAAATATCAGATGAACATTTTAAACGTGGCAGGCGGCCAACGTCATGGCCTTCCTGTTTGTATTATTAACCATATATTCCGCCTAAAAATTATATACAAATAAGGAAAAGACAGCACTCAAAAGATTCAGAGTAGAGAATTTTGCCTACATTTTCATGAAAGCAATACACGTTTTCACTTCAGTGTTTAGGAAATCCTCCATCCTGTATGCTTAGTCTTACACACTTCAGTTTAAGATCATGCGGTATGAGGTATGGGTACATTATGCACATTTGCCCTGGGGGGGGGGGGGGGGGAGGTGGCGGATCAGTGGCGGATCCAGGGAGAGCCCGGGGGCCCGGTCCCCCCACCCTGGTAAAAAAAAGTAGGTTAACAAAAAAAGATGGTAACGTTAATTTTACCTTTACATAAAAAGAAAAAGAAGACGGCCCCTCTGGTAATTTTCTCTCTTTTATTGCTCAAAGAGGGGGTGG